AAATAATGCTTAGTTGAACAGCATGTATACCTAGGAGAGGCCATATCAATCAAAAATAGAACAGAAGACATAAATAGAAGTATAAAATTGGTACGGAAAAAATATTGAAGCCTAAAAAACATACCTTCTGATATCAAGGCAAAAGTACAGGAAAAATGTATTTACTCGGTAATTTTATAATGAGCTCAAACCTAGTCTACATCGGAAAAAAACCATGATAAGTTCAAAAAGACACGGTTACAATTTTCCCGGAGCATGATAAAAATTAAGATCAAAGACAAAATCAGCAACAGAAGAGTTCGAAGTCAGGTGGGCTGTTGAAAGAAGAGTTGAAAAGAGCCTCCCTAATCGTGGATTCAACCAGGTGGTCGAAAATTACCACGGAATGGATTCCAAAGAACAACAAAAGAAGAAGAGGATGATCTATCACAAGATGGAGAGACGAAATATTGCTGAGAGTGGGTGAAAATTTGGCAACAGTGACAAAAAATAAATTAAGAAGTTTGTATTAACAAGTTTGAAAGTTAATTCTGTTTTAATAAGTTTAGATATTTCTAAAGAAATTTGTAATATATATTCTTGTTATATCCAGCTTCTTCTTACCTCCATTGTTGAGGCCTTAGGTACTACTAACAATGTGTACTAAATCTGAAACAATTATTAATATCAGCCAGACCAGTCTTTCTACTCCTAGTTCCAATTTCGTATAGTTTCCAAAACCAATACTTTACAATCAGGTCGATTAGCAGAAATTATTGGTTAATAAACTCTAAACTCTAATTATACCTAAAATGGCGAAACAATTATTGGTTATGTTAAAGCCAAGTATACTGCTAATTGAGAGATTGTTATTTTCTTTTCTGTTTTTTTGAATTCTTCCAATAATAACATTTATAATCTCTTCTCTCGAATTCTAACTCAGTTGAAATCTGGCAAATCATCATTTTCTTCATTGATTTTTATGTTTTCTTTTTAAATACGATAACGTTAAGTTTAGGTTGGATCTATGATAAGATACACATAAACAGCTGATAACACACGAAGTGTTCCCAATGTTATTCTGAAGCTGAAGCTAGCGTGGCCGATTTTATAGTTTATCACTGTTCTAATATAAATTAATAATATCAAAAGAAATAAGTTGCAGACTCAACAACACCATAAATGATAAGAAAGTATTTACTAACTCAAGGATATGAATTTTATACTCTCACAGCCAAAACTTGGGGGGAAAATAGATGAAATACTTGAGGAGAAGAGAGTGTAAAATAAGAATAAGTCTTGAATATTTATAAAACTTTTTTCTCAAAAAAAAGCAAAACAATAAAATTAACAACTCTAATAATTACTAATGAACACTTAAGTACATACTGAAAGTATAATAAACTAGTATTAAGCACAAAGACAAATTCTTAGTAGTTAATACAGAAATCCCATTGTTAATCAGATGATATGGTGGCTTTAGATAAAATCTTTGACGGAATGTATAAAATAAGACGAAAGTGTACACATTTATAAATATTATAACTAATAAATTCATTAACAAATTTTTTATAAAAAACAAACTTATAACAATAGTGATTTTATATTAAAGCTTTTATGTTATAGATTTATATAAATGAATCGTAAGTATAGTTGTGATGATGAGAAAATGGATCCCGAAACGTCAACTATAAGTTAAATGTAACAAATACATAATTTTTTTGATTAATGAATAATTTTTTGATGATTACTGAATAATTTTTTTGCATTCATGGAAGTTTTTATTGCCAACCTTTGAATAAATCGAACAAATTATAAGAGAAATAAAATAAGTAACATTTTTAAAGATTCGTTTGAGATTGTTCGTTCATGTCCTAACAGCACATTTAAGCCCAATTTTCAGGGGAACCAAACAAGATTGTAAAGAAGAGGTAGGCAGAAATAAGCTGGATAAATAGGCCAAAGAGGTTCGAATAGGAAGGGCACCTGGAACCTCAAGGGTCGTAAAATCCGTCTCTTCAAGTCCCTCCCTTCCAGGGCGGCCATAAAAGGCGACTCGATTAAGAAATTGCTGACATGTGTTTTATTTTATGTTTATATCTTCAATTACATTAGATAAGATTATATCCCTGACGAAACTATTTGTGAATATGGCGTTCGTAATAAAAACAAAATAGCAATCGATTATTAATATCTATTTCTCGCAAAACCAGCCAGATCTAAATGATTTTTGGGTATTAAAATCAAAAAACTGTTTACCTCTAACGAAAACTATTGTGAAATCAAGCGTCAGATCGAAAACCAACTGACTTCAAGATATTAAAAATAAAAATTACTGACGATAACTTGTCCATAGCTACTTAAAATGACTACTTCATTTGAAGTTACTTATAGGGATCCGACATCACGGCCATTTTCCTTCCTCAGTACTGAAGATAGGGAAGCTTTATTGATAGGGAAAATCGGAAACACGTCCGACCCCGATTAACATCCGTCTGACACTACGTAAATAGCTTCATTTCATCGTAACCTCCTAACATTTCATATACGAAAATTTTCGGGATTGGGGCGTTTTCGATCTGGAGGTCGGCAAACTTAGTCTATTTAATTATGTACAAAAAAAACTCGTAAACACCCATTTGCTTTCTAGTTGAATCGTAAAATAAATTGAGCGTAAAGTCTGGAAAAAAGGTGTCAAAAATATAGAGCCGTTTGGCGAGACTTACATCCCCAAATTGTCAAAAATAACGAGATGATATAGACTAAACGACCCAATATTTTTGCATGCAACCTTTTTTATCAATTTTATGATGAAATTATCATACGATTCGTGCGGAAAGCAAATAGATATTTACGAGTTTTTAGTACCTAATTAAATAGATAAAGTTTGCCGGCCTCTAGATTGAAAACGCCCCAATTCCGAGAATTTTCGTAAATGAAATATTTCTAGGTTACAATGAGATGAAGCTATTTACGAAGTTTCAACCGGGCGTTAATGATTTGATAGAAAGGGGTCTGTACCACGGACTAATAATCATGAAATTCAAAATTTAAATTTTAAATATTCAAATATGATATTTCTTGAGCTACAGCTGCCTTCTCATTACCAGGCTAAAATACTTTAGGATAATTTTAGAGCTGCAGAGACCTACATTTGCAAAAAGAGACGACTAAAAATAAACTTGGTCTGGAACAGCTGCATGAGATCTTTACGAGCCATTACCACATCCAAAAATAATCTTGAAAAATACTAGTGATATATATATATATATATATATATATATATATATGTGTGTGTGTGTGTGTGTGTGTACTATAGAAGTGCTTAATATAGTACTAAAGTGAAGAATATCATCAGGTTTAAAGTATCTCTACAAAATTTCAACTACATCGAATAATCGGAAATGTTATAAAATTCGATTATAAGATTCGATATATTGTATATCAGTGAAGGTAAACACACTGTGAATGTTTCAGCGAGAACCGTTTAACACCAAATATTATTATACAATTATAATTCAATCATTGTAAGAAAATAATCCAGAAGCGAAACCATTAATAAAATATATTGTTATTGACATTGGGCTTAAGATGTTTAGGTGCTCAACTTTATCTAATCTAGATACGATAAATAGCACGACCAAGATAAAAATAGACGATTTAATATTTAACAAATAAACATTAAGAAGGAAAGGATATTTTCAAGTCAGTTATATTTTGATGAAACTATATCTGAGTTCCAAATATTTGTATGTCGTCGGTTTATTACAAAATGTCAGTTAGTACACTTTTGGTCTATTTTTATATAAAGGTTAAAATTAACATAGTTGTTAATTTCGATCATATTTATCGATACAATAACTCATGAAGTGTATCCTTTTGTACGTAAAAAATAGTTTCATTAAGTTCACGATCTTCTGACTTTACAGAGCAAAAGTCTCTATATGGTACTTGTGACTTCTTTCACTGGATTAATTGATCAGATGGTTAATAAAATTAACTAACATAAGTGAGGTATGTTTAACGCACTTTCTATGTACTCGCTAGGTTATTAAAGTGTGTTAGTGTTTTGTCTAACTATAAAGCGAGCAAAAAGTCATTATGTGCGTCTTGGTTTCATTTTTTCCATTGTTATATATATGTTAAGTATTTTATTTAATTGTCGAAAGTATAATACATATTTAGAATTGCAAATAACAAGAAATAAATAATCAAATTGCCATTTTAGTATGTTTGTTTAATGAATTAAAAACTTCAAATTCGACTATCTCAAGTCATTAAAATGTTATTTAATGACTTTTTGGTAATAATGTTCTCAATGTCTTTCTAAGAAGTCTTAGTCTTTGATTTAAAGTTTTTCTTTTCTTCATTATATGTGGACTCATGTCATTTTTCGGTCAAATGTCAATCGAGGTAATGACAGTATCTGTCCGTGGTGCGTTTTGTAAAAGAGTAAAGTAGAGGGCGTTTTAGTCAGATTTTGCAGAATTTAATCAGTATAATAGTCACATCATTTTGTTAAATACTGTTGTAGAATCTGTGACGCACATGTCACATTTTTTCTTGGTAAAACTGCATGTTGGAACAACAAGGTACACATGTGTATGTAATATAAGAAAAATACAATAAATAAAATATTGTTATTTTAGAAGAGATTTGAGCCTTTGTATAGAAATCTGCAAATAAAATTATAAATATAATTAAAATTAAGATGTTTAAGTGATTCTTTAAGTCCTATTTAATGTAATTAGACGAACAATAATACTTCTAGAGATAATGTTTTTCATTGAACATGGTTATATTTAACCATTTGGGAGATGAGGAGGGGCTTCAGCCTCCCCCCCCTTTCCTTTCCTCCCCCCGCATCCACATAAGATGAGTTTCAATTTTACATGCATCGAATCTAACTAATTGTTTCTAACAAACCAGTAGAGGGCTAAAAACTTTTTTTTTTTAATCGTTCGTACAATTATTAGGTCCTAAGGGTGAGTGAGTGAGAGAGAGAGAGAAATTACATTACGATGCTGCCAGAAACACACAAAGAAATTTCAACGCAGAGAATCATGGCGGCTGCCTTGGGAGGGGAAATCAAACAGATCTGGCTAAAACAGATTCTCACAAAAGGAAATTGCTTTTCCCCGGTCGGTGTTGAAGAAAAACCAGTTCCAATGATGTTATCGAGATCAATATAGTGGGTCCTAGCTCTGCCAAATAGAATTCTCAGTAATTTGAGGAGACCTACTCCGCGAACATCAGGCCTATTTTATTATTGGTTCCGTATCTAGTTAGGGGCGTTTAGGTACCTATCGAATCTCGTCATTCGATTGTATCGATTTATTAACGTCCGTCTCAAATTTCGTGAATAGCGTTATCTCATCGTATTCTACAACTATTACATTTACGAACATTTTCAAAATGGCGGCGTTTTCATTCTGGAGATCGGCAAACTTTGTCGATTTTCATTAATCAGGTATTAAAAAAAAGCCATTTTTGGTTTCCACTTGATCGAGAGATAATTTGATTACAAAATCGAAAAAAATGTGTTTGGATAGTTTTAGAACATCCTCTTTATCGGAGAGAAAAGTATAAATAAAAATACTGATTGGTTTTGAATATATATATTAATCAGAGCGGAGCTATTAAAAGAACAATATACCATTATTTTTGCTTTATTTAAAATTTGTTAAAACGTTCAAATTTCATCCTTGTGCTCAACACTATTGATATAAGTAATTGGGAATAACAACTACCAATACTAATTCAATACAATGAAATTTTAAATTTCGAATTCAGTCTACTTCTTTCGCTTAGGTTTGCGGTTTTACCTTCTCAATACTATACAGAAAAACCCGGTTCTCTTGTAGACATTACTGCCATATGACAAATCGTAGATTTTCAAATTTAGGTTATTATGTGTTCAATAAAAATGTTAAGGAAGCTATACTCTTTTTGGTTTATTATTTTCAATGATGAACCATTTTGATCGACCAAAAAATCAAAAAAACTTATCCGCCTCTCAAAATTTGAGGTTTTACGTTTCAGGATACGTAGAATTCGAAAAACGAATAATTTTTTTTTTGTCCGTCCGCCGTCCGCGCATTTTCTCCGAAACTACTGGACTGATTTTTTTTTTTCAAATTTGGATATAAAATCAGAGGTCACCCAAGGTTGATCCTCCTTTATCAACATTACTATCCGCCTTTTACTTTCAAAATGGCGGCCGAAAAACCTGCGTTGCTATAGACTGTAGCGCCTAAACGAATGTACCGATTTCAATGAAACTGTAGCTAAAGTCATTTTCCCTACACCCTTAAAATTTATCTATATAACAAACTTTAACGAAAAGAAGCTGGAAAAAAAGTTACGGGGGATGGTAAAATTAAATTCCGAATAACTCAAAAAGTATACACTTTTTTTGTTGACATTGTGATAAGATGTTTTATAGGTATTTAAATTTCCTAAAAACAAACTGCAGAAACATCCCCGTTTCAAACCTTGCTTCCTCCTCGATCCTGATAAACCTCCGAGGCGTCAGAAAAGAAGATGGCCTCGGGACCTTCTTATATAGAACTTTAATTTGTATTCTACCAATGGGTAGTTCCACTTCATGTTGTACATGTCATGTTACCAATGTCACATTTACTTGTTGTATTTTCCATGTAATACAGTTGTAAATTTCATTACAATAAAAATAAAACAATTCCTAAAAAATGAAAGAAGTTTCATCAAAATCAAAGCACTATTAGTAGAGATATCGCGATTTTAAAATATTTTTGGTTTATTATTTTCAATAATGAACCATTGTGATCGACGATGTTTTCTTAAAAGTTTACGGAATTTCCTAAAAAAAAAAAAAAATCGTTAAAATCGGACAATTAGGAGGAAAGATATGGTCTCTAGTTTTTTGTTATATGTTCTGCTGAAAAGATTATATCCTTTGTTTTGGTTTTTGAATTTTGAATGTGTTACTCAGGTAATGCTAATTTTTTTACCATATCACTAATGATAAAAAAATGTCCATTAATTGGAATCATCTTTTATTTATTTTTCTTTGTAACTAGGAAGGTAATGTTACTTTAGATGAATAATTGTTTGGAAATAATAAACCATTATGAAATAATTTGCAGCGTTTTTTTTTTATACGTTTCATTTATATGTTTTATATGTTTCAATAATTTCCTATGGACATAAATAATAAAACAACCTATTATAACATTGAAATAAATTATTGACATTAGTATTTTCTAAAGCCAATACCAACGGAAATCGATATGGAAGGTTGCCCGAAAACGGAATTCGCTCAAGAATCTGAGGAACGCCTTTGATTAACGATCTGATACCTTATAATTCAAAGTTAAACACAAAGCTCTTCTAACATAAATAACATAATAAAAGTTAAATTAATTATTTAAATAAATAAAAATTAATAATTTTTAGGAACTATATAGAATTAATTAAATTTTACAGTTTTTTTAGTCATTTTTATACAATTGAAATATCTATAATCTTCTAAATGCTAAATAAATCCATTTTGACATCTAGTACTGATGCGATTATATTATTATTTTTTTTTTTTTTTTTTGTGGAAATCTATCTTTAAAAATATTATGTATTATATACCCGATTAAGATACTTTTCCTTACCTAATTGTGATAGAATAATTACAATTATTCAACGGGTTTCTATGAGACAAAAACAAAATAATTATTTATACACAGGGTGTCCCGTAAGTAGAGGAATTTTTTATAGAAGTGATAGTAGATCTCAAGAGCTATAAAAAAGTTTATATAAACAATGGGCCTATTTTCATCATAAAAATGGAAAATCCAATATTGTGTGTTTTTATGCTTTTTGTTGAATTGGAAGCGATAACTACAGAAATATTTAATTTAAGTAATTAACGATTGCTTCAATGTAAACTAGACAAAATTTACTTCAAATGTAGATAGAGTTCATTATTGTTTAAACCTTTTAAAGAGGGCTTTTTTAAAGTTTTGTTTTAAAAAAAGGTCATAAATTAATTGTGATTTTTTAATCACCCTTATCAACTGTACTACATTTACTCCAGTTTTCGAAAAACTTCCTCGTTTAATAAGCTTTAAGTTCATGTTAATTAAGCTGAGATTTGTTAGGAAAAAATTTGAGATCCACCTCAAGTTGTGTAAAGAAATGATGTGATTTTCTATAAATATTTTCGAGAATGACAAACTCTAGTATGTAGCAATGTTTAACTACTTTAATAAAGTATTTTTTATGTTAACGCTTCCTGTTCAACAAAAAACGTGACTCGCTTAAAAAAATACAAATCTTAAATTTGTCTGATGGAAATTAGACCATTGTTTATATGAACTTTTTGCAGATCTTAATATCTACTATCAACCTTTTAAATATATCCCTCTACTCACGGGACACCTGGTACATATGTATATAAATTTCAATATTTGCAAAAATTGAAAAAATAACTAATTTGCAACTTACTAAACCAGCGACCATTCTATACCACTATACTATAGTGGACATACGGACATACGGAGCAGAACTTTGTGGTTCCGCAAAACACACACACATAAACAAAATTCAAACCACGCAATCCAAAATACTCCGTAAAATCGTCAATGCTTCTTGGTTTATTTCAAATCGCACCATACACACAGACATGAACATACTAAAAGTAAAATCCTACATACACAACAAGTATACAACATTTCATTCTTCTCCTCTCAATCATCCAAATCCACTCGTTCTATCTCTATCTTCCTCCCTGTTACCTGGTGAGCCTCAACGAAGACTAAAGAGGCAGTGGTCTACAGATCTGAAGAAAAGTTAAGAAAATATCAGGAAGTCAAGAAGATATAATTAACGCCAACACATTTGCTTGATGCGTTCCAACGCAGTGGCAAATTTAAAATAACAAAAATAAATAAATAAAAGAATAAGTGATATGGTGACTCTGGATAACCGCTTTGATGGAATGTATAAAATAAGAAGAAAGAGCACACATAAGTAAATATTATATCTGATAAAATCAATAGAAATTTTAGATTAATGTTTTTATTTTAAAAATTCATATAAATTATTGCAAGCTCTGATAATGGAAATATGGTTCCCAAAACGTCAACTATGAGTTAAATTTAATAAATACTACAACTTCCTAATAAAAGAAGAAATGAAGTAATTAAAGAATACATTTTTAGCTTCGGTTCACGGTTTGGGAGTTATAGATTAAAAGACAAGAGAAGAGGAAAGATCTAAAGATCTGGATTTTTTGGCTGTTAAAAGTTCTCCTTAAGTGGCCTCTGTTAACATATTTAATATTTAAATGTTTAAATCAATATATTGAAGTTACTGGATTAACATTCTTTAAATCAACCAACCACCATTTTTGAAAGTAGTTAAGCAGTGGAATGACATACAAGTTTATTTTACTTATAACAACAAATATTGTCGAAATTTACAATCAAACCTTCGCCTACGATCAGGTCGATTTTTAGGGTCTGGCTGCAGGACTAAAACGCTTGCTTCAGCCCCATTCAAACCTTTTCCTGAAATGAGTAACCCTTTTAGCCCCTAGCTCCAGGGCTGAATAGTCCCCTTACTTAGCAGAGGTAGGAAAGTAATATCCGATCGCTAAACTTCCAGTGAAGAGCTAAAATGTATTTCTTTTTTTAACGCAAATATTTTCGCTGGTTATTCGAAATCTATATATATAACAAAAAAAAATATAATTCTACCATTATTTTCAATAATTCTGTAAATATAAGCAGCTAAAGTAAACCTATAATTTTTTTCAGCTTGGACGAACTCGGAACTCCTACTCCATACCGTCCTTGGAGTGTCGCTTCCCCAGGTCCTACCTGGGACATTTGGAACGGGTGCCGGCACACAGCTGGGGGATGATGATGGGTACCCAGGTATAGACCCGGGTCTCTGCCGCAGCTTGGCGTCGTAAATCTGCAGAGGATTACAGTAACGGTTCTCGCACTAACACTGGAAGCTATCCTGTTAAAATTATTTTAATGGCAGTTGGCACCTTGTTGCGGATTATGGAGTAATTTATCGTTGTCATGTTATTTTTGTAATCTTGTGGCTTTTGAGTGGTAATATTATATGATACATTGTGGTTTTCGATATTTTTAAACTAAAAATGTTTATCTAATCTTTCACCAACTTGAAAAGAGATATAACCACATTGGTTCAAAATAGTTTAACTTAGCACTTTAATAAATTTTGTAATTTTTTTCCTAACTGACGATTGTTGATGGTGGCCACGTAGAAGTTTGCCAAACTCTGAGATCTTAAAGTAGATTTGATGCTTAGTAAACATGATCACACACATTTCACCTATCACTCAAATTTGAGTAAAAATTAACTTCAAATAAATTAATAAACTTTAATGATATTACTTTAAATATAAATAAAACCAACGATATTTAATCTAAAACTCAATAACCTTGTTCACTTTTTTTTTTTTTTTTTTGCATCTCATCCTCAAATAAATTTTAAATGTTTGTAATATAATTCTTTTTTGGTTCCATAGAAACATTTATTTTCTACTCAACAATATTTATTTATTTATAATAGTGGTTAAATAGTTGACTGTCTTGAATAATGAAAAGAAGAATAGTTGGGGTAAATCAGTCAAAGAAGGCAAAAATAAATGACAAAATAGATATTATCATTTATTTTTGCCTTTTTATTTGACTGATCACCCCAACTATTCTTCTTCTCATTTATTTATTTATTATTAACGCATCAAATTCTGGCATAAAATTACATTTTCGATCTGTAAATTGCCTTGCAATGAGCAAATTTTGTAAACGGTTTACGCTGTCAAACCAGATACAGGATATATATCATCTCAGCAGAACTTTTGTGGGTAGTAAGGTTGTCTTGTACGTTCAAGAATTTCTGCCAGTGTATTCACGTTTCAGGTCAGTTTTCGGTGAAAGTTGTAATTTTCTTTGGCAGTGCCCAAAATTCTTGGGATATTTAAGTCCTTTTGTTTTATTTTATTTGTGACAAAGAATGGTTCGTCAATTATCCTACAATATATCAATAATTTACATTTAATTTATTTAAAATTATTAACTACAACAATTATCAGTCATTAAATTTTTGTAATTTCCTTTTTCTGCTATGATTTTAGTTGTCTGCTTCCCAAAATCATATCATACATATCTATTTTACTACTTTTATTTCCAGGCATTTGTTTCTAACCTACGAAAATATTTTTCGGCTTTTCTCGTTTAATTAATTAACAAATTTCTTCCCAATTAATATATATATATGTATATATATATACATATATATATTTACAACTTTTCCTTAATCGACCTTTGAGTATTAAATTTAAACTTAACTATTTAATTGGGAATAAGGTCACTTATAAATTATTTAATAAACTATTGAATGTTCATTTCTTCTATGTTTATTGACGTTTCGATCCCGGTATTTTCTTTTTATAAGTCAACGATGGGATCCTCTTCAAAACTAGAATTTTAAAAAATAGATCTTCGATCAGGCCAGGGACTCACCGACAGTCTCAGCACCGTCCACTAGCACATATATATGTGCCAGTAGTTTAATATATGTGCTAGTGGACGGTGCTGAAACTGTCGGTGTGTTCCTGGCCTGATCGAAGCTCTATTTTTTAAAATTCTAGCTTTGAAGAGGATCCCATCGTTGACTTATAAAAAGAAAATACCGGGATCGAAACGTTAATAAACATAGAAGAAATGGACATTCAATAGTTAATTAAATAATTTATAAGTGACCTTATTCCCAATAAAACAGTTAAGTTTAAATTTTATATATATATATATATATGAACTTCTAAAAATCTAGCATTTAATTCAAGTTTGAATATTTAAATGTGGATAAGACATAACGGATCTAAAAGACAATTACACTGTAGATTGATATGACGGGTTTTATTCAAAATTTTAGAGAAAATTATAAACAATTATAAAATCAATGATATAAAGTAACAGATCTGAGAAGTGGATTTTATCAAAAAAATTAGTCAAACATCCCAGGTACACTCCTAGGTTATGTAATTCCAATTTGAGCGAATTTTCGTTTTGTTAGGTAGACCTTTCACAAACACATCATTTTGCGAGACTTGTTTGTTTGGATACAGAGGACCTTAAAAACTGTATTTCTGTTAAAAATCTGATCGGATTTTTTTGTATATCATTACTTTTCGTTATATACATGTTATATAAATAAGTTTAATTGATATTAAACATGTAACAAAACAAATAACTCGATGCTTTTCTTTTTTTTAATCAACTCCCGTGGTTCCATGAATGTGGTTTCCTAACTTGCTTTGATATACTTTTTAAGGACATGTCCTTAAGAACTTAACCAATTTCGATATAAATCGATATATATATCTGTGTACCAGAGGTAAAGGTACCAGTCTGTTTTTTAATCGAATAATTTAGTAACTAAGAAATTTTACTAGCTCAGTGTTATGAAAAATTGGTTTTCCCGAACAAATACAAAAATGAACATTACATCCTGGGTAGTGATATATAGTCATCATTCATAACATTTTTGAGATTTTTTTTATATTTTTGAAAATAAAAATATGGTGTATTAAAAATGAAATAGATTAGAAAATGATATAAGATGAATTCAACAATCATTAATATCGCAACATGATGAGGAATTATATAAAACGTATATTATTTTAAAATATAAAAATTATTTCCTAATTTTAAGGATAATTTATCATTGATATAGTTGAAGATATTACCTAGTTGAAACCGGGAGATAATGTCAGTGCAACGCGAATCCATCAATTTCAAGGATGCTTCAGAATGATTCAATGAGCTGTCCAGGCCAGTGTGAGCTCTGTGTTTAACAGAGGTCTGCATCCCGATAGCATCATTGCATAATTATCTTCAAACAGGTCTCTATTTAATTATTATTTATTTTAATTATTATCAATTCTATGAGGTGTAAACCTTTAGTTATTAAGACTCTTTTATCTTAAGTAAACAACAATTTTGACTACCTAATATTCCAGCTAACCAATAACTACAGAGACAAATTAATTTAAATATGATTCACAAAAAAATGTTTTAACAAGTATAAATTTTATTAGAGTGGACACAAGATCACTTAAAAATTTAAAAGCGTCATTAACACATTTATATAATGCAATTAAAATAAAATTTTAAGTAGTACATTAATGGAAAAGAACAAAATACAAAAAATCCAGCAATATAATATTTACACTACTGATATGATTCCAACGATGTTGCAAAGCAACTGTTAACCATATTTCACTAGAGTTGAAAAACAGGCCCTTTTTATTTTTATCAAATTATTAACATCCGTATAAAAACTTATGAACGGCTTCATCTTCTGGCAATCCACAACTTTTTTATTTAATGAAATTATTGGAAATGTGGCGTTTTCTATCCGGAGATCAATAAACTTTGTCTATTTATTTAGATACTAAAAACTCATGAACATCCATTTGTTTTCTATTTGAATCCTAAGATGATTTGATCACAAAATCAAGAAAATCCACCCCCAATATGTCAAAATAACTAGGTTATTTTGGGCCAAACGCCTTAATATTTTTGTGGACCCAATATCACATAAATTTTAAACACATAAAATTAATAATTGTGAGAAAATAACCACCTTCCCAAGCTTCAATTCATTTTTATTTTTTTCGACGACGTTTCAAATGTTATACTTTTTTGTCCTATATATTATAATAGCTTTATGTCCACTGATGGATAATAGGCTATGTCCAGTGGACATAAGGCTATTATATATATATATATATATATATATATGACGAAAACGTATCGCATTTAATGGAAATTTTTAAAAAAATTTTAATTTGTGTGACGTGTCCAAAGAATTGACTTTTCATAAATAGTTATGAAATTAATATTAGAAGAATGGAAGGATAAGAATGAAAAAACATTTTATAACAATTATACAAAAAATAATATAACATAGAGGATAAGATAATGATATAAATATTTCGACTCGAAAATAAGCAAAATTGCCAGAAACGTCGTCGGAAAAAATTAAAAAGAAATTGAACCGCGGAAAGAGGGTGAAAGGGTTCAATGGGGTTATTTCCTCGTAATTATTAATTTTATTATTGAATTAAAAATTCCCTTGAAATTTTGGAAGATTTTATAAAAATAAATAAATAAATTTTAAATATCATATTGAATTTTATGGAACAAGACCATTTGTACGCTGTCCTCCAAAATATCTCCATATGTACGCGAAATTCGAACATATAGGAGGATCGATGAAAAAAAAAACAAATATAGAAGAATGATTTTTTTTCTTTTAAGGAAAAATACATGTTGCCTCAATATAGGGCATTGAGTATTTGAGATATAAGAAACTCATTCAATATATACGCTTACAATATATACGCTTACAAAAATAATAGAAATTATAACAAAAATAAGAAAAAGAAACCTTAGTAAAACAGATGAAATAAAATATAATATAACACAAATAAAGACAAAACAAAAATAAATAAATAAAACATTCATGCTTAGATGCTTAGAATGAATTTTATAAAATTGATATGGAACAATCTAGAAACCAACTTCGCACAGTCTCTGAAAATTTCATCTGACTGATAAAAAAAATAATAATACTGCTTTAACTAAACGAAAATGGTTACATTAAATTGTTTTAAACACCACAGTTGTTACATAATGGCATCAATCATTTAAAATATTATAATTTATCTTAATTAAAACACCATTTAGAAACAGATCCATGAACTATCTAACCCGACACAATTATGGGAGAAGAATAAACAAATGTTTTCGTCCCATTTACATTTGTAATATGCCCTTGAGCTGACACTTAAGAATGTGTATATTCACTAACTATTTGTAACTTATGCCAGTTTTCAACATCCATTCTCTACATGTGTAGTATTTTAAATTCGTTTTCCACAGGTCTTGGTGTACCTTGGTCTGTTTTTCGGACTGCTGGGACCAATCCATTATTTTCTTTGGTCAGGAGTGCTCATTTCGCCTTTGTATCAGAAGCTTTTCGTCCCCTTTGAGTGGAACAATGGCAAAGACATCAAACACGCCGATATCAAGAGTAGAATGAAAACATAAACTATATTTTAGTCTCTTTCATACGGATATATATTTTTTTCAGATAGAAATTAGCTCGATTTCGGCACTTCTTAACATTTTTATCAATTCTATTAGCCAGATATGGTACCACTTAAACTATAGAATATAGGTAGGCAGAATGCTAACATTATAAAATGTATACATATTAAAAGGCTGTAAATTATTACACAATGGTTTATTATTTCCAAACAATTTAACATCAAAATTAGCATTACTTTCCACGTAACATTAAGGAAAATAAATAAAAAGGGATTCCTAACATTGGCCTATATAATTTTATTTTTTAGCATTGATAATTTGCTTAAAAAATAGACAACATTGCTAGAGTTGACGTAAAAACAAAAGATATAAGCTTTGCAGTAGAACATATAAAATATATTTAGAACACCATATCTTTGCTCCAAATTATCCGACTTCAACGATTCCCTTTTTGTTTTTTAGTAAAATTAGTAAACTTTAAAAAAAAAAAACCATTCACAAAAAAGTGTATACTTCTTAAGTAATCGGAAATGTAATTTTACCACCCCTCTTAACTTTTTTTCTAACTTCTTTTGGTTGAAGAACGTTATATAACTAAATTTAAAAGTTATCGAGGAGAAGGCTGTAGCCAAGTTTTATTGAAATTAGTTCATTAGTTTAACCGTTACACTCTATGCCAACACAGGTTTTTCGGCCGCCATCTTGAAAGGAAAGGGCGGATAGTGATGTCGAGGAAAGAGGATCATACACCTAATTTGAAAAAAATCGGTCCAATATTGGAGAAAAGCAGCAGACGGACAAATAAAATTGTATTCGATTTTGGAATTGCAAATATCGTGAAACGTAAAACCTCAAATATATAGGGGGGGGAGGATAAATTTTTTAATTTTTTTGGACGACGTTCATTATTGAAAATAATAAACCAAAAATGTAATAGTACTTTTTTTTATTATAATTTATTGAATATTAACACAATCTGCCACACTTAATGGCAATAAGCATTGATAATTAAAAGTATCCCCCATACAGTATATATATATATATATATATATATATATTTTTTTTTTCAAGTTAATTTTTTATTAGCCATATTTACACCAATTTAAAAAAAAATTTGTTGTCACTTAATGACTACTCATCAAAATGACGACGTTTCGGCTCGTCGAGCCATTTTCAAGTCTAAAATACCCATCATGTACCTGTCATTTTCACTTATGCGAATTGCAAGCGTCATGTTTCTGATGGCTCGACGAGCCGAAACGTCGTCATTTTGATGAGTAGTCATTAAGTGACAACAATTTTTTTTTTAAATTGGTGTAAATATGGCTAATAAAAAATTAACTTGAAAATAATAGTATGCACCGAAGAAGAATTGTGTAATATTGTGTATATATATATAAAAATTAAAATAATAAACAACAAATGAAAAAAATAAAACAAAGTAAATAAAACTGAACAAACAAAATATGATATAATAATAAGTAGTAGAGGATGAAAGTATACTGATAAAAGTAAAATATATATATATATATGTGACGTCACAAAATGAAGGGCACATATAAATAGATGATGGTATCATCTGTAGATAACAAAAGCAAGTTAAAGGTGAATACAAAAATAAATAAAATTCTTCTAAAACTCATTCACACCTATATTATAGTACTAATTAGAATTGGTAACTTGGTGATAATAAATATCAAGAATTTTTAGAAAATTGTACTTAAAACAATAAAAATGATTTATTTATATTTTAAACAAACGAATTAGTACATTTCCAAACATAATCCTACGTTATATACTGTTCCAGCTGGATATGGATTTGAGGATATTTGTTTGGGTACGGAACAAAGCTTTAAACCTCTGAAGCATTCATATGGCTTTTCTTACGTAACTATAAGAAGTAAGGGGTTTTTGAACTCGTATAACAGGAAGTAAATATTTTTATTTTAAAATAGGGTTAATCCAGTAAAAATAGTCATTTGACCACAATAAGTATCCATAGATATTCATTTTTCCAATTATAACGTAACATTTAATTTATAATTTTTTTTATTTGTTTAAGTGAAAACATCTTTAGGCGCATTTTGCACATTTTTTTGTGGTGAGTGGATTAAATTGAGCCTCCAAATCTCTAATGTTTAACACTCGGGTAAAGTTGGCTGGAGTCGACTACTTAAGGGGTTTTGGCACATGAATTGATATAACTCAAAAAATTAAAATTGGACCACTATATTGTTAGCGAAGGAAATGTTCATCATTCCATACTCTTTATAATGAGCTATTATTGAAAATTTTATCTTAACGCAACGCCGTGTTAAAGAGGTGAAAAAGGAAAAAATAGTGTCAAAAACCAAATTATAACCAAAGTTTTATTGATGACATGGATTAAAATATCTCAGAAACTAAAAATCAGATCTTCGTACTGTAAGCGAGGGAATCGTTCAGCATTTTATCCTCTTTCTAATGGACTGTTATTATTATTTAAATTGTATCTTAACGCGACACCGTGTTAGAGAGACGAAAAGGGAAAAATAGTGTCGAAAACTAAATTATAACAAGTTTTATTGAAAATATGAATTAAAATAACTCAGAAACTAAAAATCGGACATGCATACTGTCAGCGAGGGAAATGTTCAGCATTTCATCAGCCTTATAATGAGTTATTATTTAGAATTTAGAATTCATATTATTAATTTCGTTTTAGTGATGTTTTTACTTCTATTGTGTGGTCTAAAGCACACACTTTAGATTTTTTGCTTCTTTATATTAATATTTTTTTTTATTAAAACTATAAAGAGCTATGATTGTTTTTCATTCAGTAATAAATGCGATACTATCTTGCACATCAGATTTTAATTTTTTGGGATACAAATAAAACAACATTTTCGACAATAGGATGTATTTAAATTTTCTCTTATATCAACTTCAAAGATGTATATGTATATATATACATAAATAATATAATATAAAAATACTTAATAATTTCAAATTTACATGTCAGAATAAAAAGGACTAAAGCTGGTAGTCAAGATACAAGGGCGGACGCTTCTTTTAACAAGTGAAGAAACCTTCCATAAAAAGAAGGAGCCTTTTACTGATGCGCTCAAGATGGGATAAATCTAAAAGCCATTGGAATCCTTAAAAAGGCGGACAAAAGAAAAGTTGAAGGTTTCTGTGTCAGCTTTCACGTATTCACTTTATTTTGTTTTTAATAACAAATGCAATTTAAAAATAATAAATATAATTCCTTTTTACTGCTATTCGAGTATCATATCAACCCGAATCTCCACTGAGAAACAAAATTTTAGACTTAGATGGTATATATATATATTTACAGCTTGTATCACTAAAGTCCATAAGGATTTAAAGCTAAAAAAAAAAAATTACAACACCGAGAAACCACTTGTTAGATTGAAACAAACTAACAGAAATACCTTAGATATAATAATTATATTAAAAATGTTTAAACACTTTGGTTACTAAATTTGACTTATTATTTTTTTACATCAAATATTGAATTTTCCCGAATTAATTATATATATATATATATATATATATATATATATTATTTAATTGAAATTTACAACTGCATTACATGGAAAATACAACAAGTAAATGTGACATTGGTAAGATGACATGTACAACAAGAAAGAGAAAATACCCATTGGTAGAACTCAATAAATAATATTTAAAAACATGACAAGGAGTTAGTCGAGGGTGCGGTCAAATAAATAAAAAATTAAAATATATTAATTATTTTAATTTTTGCCTTTTAAAGGCAAAAATTAAAATAATTAATATATTTTAATTTTTTATTTATTTGACCGCACCCTCGACTAACTCCTTCTCATATTATATCAACGGTCAACCATCTCTACATCAATATTTAAAAACGTTTTTATATATAAATTTTATAAACGACTCGACGAGGGTTATTGACATTCTTATCTATATTTAATTAACTAATCAACTTAAAATATATTTTCATTACCTATGATATTCTGTGGCCAACAAGAACTATCTTTATAATTAATTAATTTAGTTTTAAAATTTTATTATTATTTAATTTTATAATATATATTATTTCTAAAAGAGGTTTTTTTGTCGCAACGCCATTACTTCGTCAATTCTTCATCAAATACAACGATTGAGCCCTCATTTTAAAGATCTTCTTCGCCTTCAGGTGGGAAAAATAGTCACATCATCCCGAAATTGAAGGAAAAAAAGTTATAAGGGATAAGAACCTTTATATGTCAAAAAGTATGCATTTTTTCTTGAATGTACTTGTTATGATGTTTGTTATGATTATTAGAAAGACTACTAAATTGCTTACAAACAAACAAAAAAATCGTAAAAATTGGACAATTATTAAGAAAGATATAGTCCAATAGTTTTGGTATACTTAATAATTTCTTCCTCTTTAATAATACTGCATCTACTATTCTACTACGCTTTTTTTCTTGGCTGATATATACTTTGTTATTTCTCAAAGCCTATTTTTTTTACATTTTATATTTTTTAATAATTTAGAAAATCCCATGATCGAGGCTTCATTTTGAATGTTACCTTTCCAGTCAGCGTTTAAAAATAGATGCTTGCAAAGAAATATGTACAAATATTTTGGTATATTATGTTAAATGGAATATTGTAATCGACCAAACAATTAATTCCTCCCTTAGATAATACAAAGGATCTACTTATTTCCATATTGTTTTGCTGTTCCTTCACTAAATAAAATTGTCTGCGAATTATTCGCAGGGACCTACTAGTATACTATATTTTTATTATTATTATTTCTATTTGTTATATTCACTTTACGGAGTGAGTTTCTGATGTGGGAGACCAGAAGATCAGCCACCTTCATATTAATATTTATTATTTCTTTAATGTTTTTTAACAATAAGTGGTGGGTCTAAGATAACTGTGTGTTGAGCCTCTTTCAGCACATCAAAGTTAATTTTAAACCCATCGTACCTACCACTGTCGACTTTGGTATCAGTCCATTGGATTGGATATTATCATTATTATTATATATGTTTTATTTTATTATATATTTTTTACGGTAATTAGATATTCTGATAAGTATTGCTTTTGAAAATAAAATTATTTCCGCTACCTACTGACAAGAATATCATAAAAATGGCCTTGTTTCATTTTATTTCTTGTTTTATTACGAAGACTTTTGAATAATTTATAACTGAACATTTACTATCAGTTTATGATA